ACAAGGCAGAAGCGGTGGTTAAAGAACTGACGGACATATGGGGAAAGCAGGGTCAGGCATGCAGGAAATGCACGAAATCCTAAGCTGTCTCTCTCTAAACCGTTAAGGGAGACAGTGCACGTTTGACATGTCTATAATGACTAACAGTGACTCTGGTACTATTATCAACTTTTGGTGCAAATTCGGCCTCCCTTGCACTTTCCAAATGATGCTTTTTGAAAGCATCCATTTTGCTCAGCTGCCAGTGGCTTCTCCCCCGTGTTCGAGTTGTTACCCAAAAGCACAATCCTTCTGAATTTGTGCAGAAGAGTTTGACTCCCACCTGCCTAGTTCCACTTGTTTTTCTCCTAGTTCTTTTTTTTTTTTTTTTTGCAGTACGCGGACCTCTCACTGTTGTGGCCTCTCCCGTTGCGGAGCACAGGCTCCGGACGCGCAGGCTCAGCGGCCATGGCTGCACCTGCATACATTCACACACACACACACGCGAGGAGACGTGCACCTGCATACATTCACACACACACACACACACGAGGAGACGTGCACCTGCATACATTCACACACACACACACACATGCGAGGAGACGTGCACCTGCATACATTCACACACACACACACACGCGAGGAGACGTGCACCTGCATACATTCACACACACACACGCGCGAGGAGACGTGCATCTGCATACATTCTCACACACACACACACACACACACACACGAGGAGACGTGCACCTGCATGCATTTTGAAGGACACACTAACTGAGAAACGATCATTTACCAAGCTCATCACGAAAAGGTGTCCTCATTCATCCCACAAAACAGGTGCAGGGACACAGCACCGAGCCCCAAAGCACCCCCAACACGCACACGCTCCTTGTCCTGTGGAGCTGGCAGGCTGCTGGGGGGACCGGCAGCCACCAAAGACTCTACCTAAGACGTGAGATGAGGCAGAGGACGCGGTGCCGTGAGAGGAAAGCACAGGGGCCGCGACCTGGCAGACGGAGGGCAGGGGCGGCACAGAGACCTACAGGGTGAGGGGCGGAGACCCAGGCACCGGGCTGCAGAGCAGCACAAACGGAAGCGCAGGCACTAGCTTCCCGAGCTCGGCCAGAGAAGCACCCTGGCAGACGTGGTCAGACAAGGCTGGGCCCTGGGGAGCGGTCACCTTGTGGGTGAGAGGGGATGGGGTACAGTGACCTGACTTACATCTTGGAACTATTTCTCTGGCAGCCAAGCACAGCGATCCGCTCAGCCATGCCCCAGCCCTAGGGTCACTTCCACAGGCCGCAGGAGGTGCTCCTAAATGCTCCCCATCACATCACCCCCTCGATCTCTGAAAACCTGCCAATGAACCAGTAAGAGCCACAGTACCCGAGGGGCTAGGCTTTGACGGATCCTACGGAGGGGCGTGTCCACTTGGCCAGGCGGCGTTTCTGCTCTGGGATCATCTGTTAAGGTGTCCGACCTTACGTTTAGGGCAGCGGCTCCCAGTCCTGGCTGCGTACCGGGCCCACCTGGGGAGCTTCTGAAAACTACAGCAACACCCTGGGCCCCAAGAACACCTGAGCAGAGACAATGCAAACCTGTGGAGGAGGATCCAGGCGAACCTGTGAGGCTGAATCTGGGCGAGTTTGAAAAGCTCTGCTCAGGATGCCAGTGAGCGGCCAGGCTGAGCTGCTTGCTGGTCCAGCCCCCAGGCCTCCTCAGCTTTTACTGCCCCCGCTGCCCCCTGGGGAACTCGTTAAAATGCAGATTCTAGGCCTTTTAGCGTAACAGCTGTCTTCCCACCGCCTCTTTACAGTATGAGAAGGAAAACCGTAGCAAAAGGGTGTCTGTCGACTGAGACTGTCTACTGAGGATCTGAATTACCTGTGCTCTGAATAAACAGCTTAAAGAGGCCTGATTAGAATAAAGACCTCCATCACTGTTCCCATTTACTCTCCTTTCCAGCCCTCCCATCTATAGGTAACCTGTAGAATTTTGGGCTGACCTTGGAAAACTCAGGAAGATTTGCCCCATTTTTTTTTTCAACAAAAAGAAAGTCATTCCAAATTCCTGTAGCCCCAGCTCCTCCCGGCCTGCCCGCCATCTGCCATCTGCAGTGTTTCCTTGAGCACACGAATTCCCCACGGGTCTGCCTCCTGTCCACGGGCAACAGCCTTGAGGCTCATTGTTTCCGTCTGCAGAGAGTCTGGGGCCTGACACCCACGGTCCTCCCTCCTCGGCTCTGGAGGGGCCACTGCTCTCCCTGCAGCCAGGTGACAAACAGCCTTTAAAGAGCCTGACATTTTCTGTAATTAACTCTCCCTTGTTCAAGGAGCCAAGACAACTCCCAACGTGCCTCTTGCAGCTAACAGTGATGAACCTGAGCGCGCACCCTGGCCGTTTGCAGAGCTTCCCTACTCCTGATCATTACGTGGGATTTGCACCTCTCAAGATGTCAGGCTCTGAAACTAAGCCAGAAGGTTGGCTCTTTGAAAACTCACAAGGCAGAAGCGGTGGTTAAAGAACTGACGGACATATGGGGAAAGCAGGGTCAGGCATGCAGGAAATGCACGAAATCCTAAGCTGTCTCTCTCTAAACCGTTAAGGGAGACAGTGCACGTTTGACATGTCTATAATGACTAACAGTGACTCTGGTACTATTATCAACTTTTGGTGCAAATTCGGCCTCCCTTGCACTTTCCAAATGATGCTTTTTGAAAGCATCCATTTTGCTCAGCTGCCAGTGGCTTCTCCCCCGTGTTCGAGTTGTTACCCAAAAGCACAATCCTTCTGAATTTGTGCAGAAGAGTTTGACTCCCACCTGCCTAGTTCCACTTGTTTTTCTCCTAGTTCTTTTTTTTTTTTTTTTTGCAGTACGCGGACCTCTCACTGTTGTGGCCTCTCCCGTTGCGGAGCACAGGCTCCGGACGCGCAGGCTCAGCGGCCATGGCTCACGGGCCCAGCCGCTCCGCGGCATGGGGGATCTTCCTGGACCGGGGCACGAACCCGCATCCCCTGCATTGGCAGGTGGACTCTCAACCACTGCGCCAGCAGGGAAGCCCTCTCCTAGTTCTACTTTTACTAGGCACATTCACTCCTCCTGTGGTAAATAAGTCCATTTAACTGTTCCAAACAGAGTTAACAAATTTTTAAAAGCAATTGGCCTAGACGTGGTCTAGTGTGCACACAAGCACACAGATAAATCTCACAACTGTGGTGCAAAGGAAATACAGCAAAAATAGAATGAGATATATGACACAGTGCCATTTACGTAAATTAAAAACGCAGGCACTGAAACCAAAAATACACGTTCTACAAAAACACAAAGAAAGAAGAGGATGACCTTTCCAGTGATTTCTTATGTGGGTGGACGAGAGGAAATGAGACTGAGGAAAGGGAATTAAAAAGGCATCCATAAGTAAACAAAACGAGGGGCCCTGCGGACATCAGGGATGTTAACCTCCATTCAACTCCTTGAATGTGAAGGAGACAGAGGGACAGACAACTAGACAGAGAAAGGAGAGGAGATTTAAAAAACCAAAAAACAGCTTTTCTCCAAATGTTATTCATCCATTCAGCCATATTTACCAAGGGCTTATTCTGAGCCAGGAGCTGTTCCTGGCTCTGCGGATACAGCAACCTACCCGCTCTGCTCTCATGGTGCTTGCTTCTAATAGAGGCAGACAGGCCATAAACAGATAGAGCCATTAACGCCTAGGATCACACCAGGCAGGCGCTAAGTGACACAGTTAATAACACAGAAGGGTAAGGGAGGAAGGAGCACCTCGGTGGAGATGATGTTGAGAAGATGTTCAAACAGAGGGAGGGGACTCATCACGCAGCACCTGGCAAAGAGCTTGGTCTGGGTCCCAGAATCCCCAAAGCAGCAAGGAGGCTGGCATCTCCTGTGCAGAGTGAGCAGGACGGCGAGGGAGTGGCCCAGATGAAGAGCCTTGTCAAGGGCCCTTTACTGAGTTGGAAACTCCTGGACCCCCGCCCCCCATCACCCATGTACCCCGGGGAAAGGATCACCTGCCCAGCGTTCAGTTTTTAAAACATTCATTCAAAACCTATCCAGACAGCAAAGGAAACTTCACGAAAAGAATCTGGTCGTGCACAAGGACCCAGTAACCCCGGGAGGACAGACAGGGAGAAGGGAAACAAGAGACAGCTGAGGCTGGAGCAGCGGGGACCCTCCACCACCAGCCCTTTCGATTTTGAACTAAAATGTGTTCCCTAATCAACAAAATTATTAAATCACCACTTAAGAAAATAAAATGCTGCGTATGAATTTATAAAATATATAAAGTCTAGGGCTTCCCTGGTGGTGCAGTGGTTGAGAGTCCGCCTGCCGATGCAGGGGACACGGGTTTGTGCCCGGGTCCGGGAAGATCCCACATGCCACAGAGTGGCTGGGCCCGCTGAGCCTGCGCGTCCAGAGCCTGCGCTCCGCAACGGGAGAGGCCACAACAGTGAGAGGCCCGCGTACCACACACACAAAAAATAATAATAATAAATAAATATATATATATATATATGTATATAAAGTCTTATTACAATCACTGTGAGCTTTAAATTCATAGTAAGGGTTTCTCTCAATCTAAGTTCAGAAATTTCCTTTGTCTACTTGGCCATCGTCATTACAATTTACCACCTCAGAACGACTGCTCATCCGTCAGTGACCAGAATGGAAACCTACTCCTCACTCTAGCCAGCTGGAGAGTGAACTGGAGGTGAAGACAGATTCTCAGGAGTGATGATGACGAACAGCAAACACGTCTTCGGGGGTCGCTGCAAGCCAGGCACTGCACTCGGCAGGTACCCAGCTCACCTAACCCCCTGCCTAAGCGGGTGCTCCTATTATGATCATGGTTAAGAAAACATTTCTAAGAATCCGTGTACATACTCCTATTTACGAGTTTAAGCTTCCGGAAATCCCCATATGAGCAAGAAAGGAGAATGCTATGTGACGTGGATCTCAGATAACTAGTGAGGTGTCCACAACCTCCCTTCCATACCTTCTTAGGCCTGGTCCACATCTCCTTGCAGTATCTGCTTTGCCTTGGAGGTTCCTGGCTCCTCCTGTCTCTGTACGGGACAATTAAAAAAACAAATAAGCACCATTAAAGGTTATGAGATCAACTAACTGAACACAACTTGCTTTATACTTGGGAAACAGTTAACCACTTTGATTTTTCAAGTATATTTCGCACGCCAGGTCTCTTACAGAGGGGGGTTATCTTTGGATGGCTTGGCAGATGAATAAATATTCTAAACATACCAAAAGAGCTAGCTGTTTAAAAGATTCTTCCCTGTCACTTAGTATGAAAAAATGAAATATTTTTTGGAGCAAAAATAATCAGATCCTATTATACCTGTTTTATATGTTTGATATTGCGTAAAGGATTCCTATGTAAGATGATCAAATCTTTCAATGCAAGGCGTTCACGGGGTTTTGTATTTCTTCAAGCTATAACACCCGGGTAAATTCTAGCCAAACGTCATATCGTGAATGAATAAATGGAAACAAGCCAAACTCATGGAATTAGAGAGATTACAGATTTAATAGAGCTACCTGGCAAAATAAACATCCAACTGATTTAAAACACAATAGAGCCCGAGCTGCCTGGGATGCTTGGAGCAGTCTAGCTATGCTTCCCTTTACTCTTATGAACTCAATATTAAAAGGAAAAGCAATTTTATGTTACAAAGACGGAAAGGTTAAGATGCAGATTCTTCCAGACCTGTATCAGGACAAAACACTCTCTTGGCTTCTATGATCTCTCAGGTCCTGCATTCACCTCTCTCCCCCGTTTCTATTCTACTGTATAACCTCAAGCATTTGAAAAATGATCTGAATATAACTGCAAATTGCCCAGGATAGTAACTAATTCTTCCCTTTCTTTGTTCAGTTTTGCAAGAACTCCAGTTTCCATTCCAGGGAAGGAGAGAATTTTTCTCTTAGGTATTTCTTGGAGACTCTATCCTGGAGGGTCAAAAGCAAAGATGGGAAGATTTTTCTTTCCATCTTGAAATTCCCATTTGGACCCAAGATGGACTTTGCCCTAATTATAATGGGAAAAAAGAGAGAAGACCATTTCCCTCTTCGTGTCTCTTCCTCTTAACCCAGTCAATGAAAAGAATGAATAAGCCTGGAGCTAAAGGGAGCTCTGCCTGGTTTTAAGAATACCTGAGACATTTCTCACTCTGGCAGTGAAAACTGACCAATAACCAACTCTTTATGGTCCAAGGCCCCAGACTTGGGGTGTTTGAGACAAAAAAAAACCCTTTATGACAGTCCTGCCTCTCAGCTAACCAGAACCTGACTGCGCTGCTTTGCACTCAGTGCCCGGCCCCTTCCTGCCTTTTGCAGACGTGGAAAATAACAAGGCAGCTTTTGGAAGATCTGGTTCATCTTCCCAGCCAGAAGTGCAGAAATTTATGCCTCCACCTCCAACTTCTGACAGGCCTCTCTTCTGTCCAAATCTGAGCTGAGGGCACCCGGGAGCCTACCTGGCAGGACACACGCATTTCCAACCATCCTTTCCCCTCCCACCCGCCAGAGACGTGCCTAATTGTGCACTTAGGGAAGCTGCACATGGCCCTTCTTCCCTGGCCTCTCTCTTCCTCTGTCTGCCTGCTCCCTGCACCCAAGTGGAACATTTTCTTCCTCTTTCCGCCTCCAATTACAAATGCAAATCCTCACGCAAGGATGAAAGAAGTAAACTATGGATCACCGAGTATCAATGATGCCACGATCACAGCATCCCCAGCAAGGACGCCGCCTCATTGCATAATTAACGTGATGAAGGTTCTCCTCTTTAACCCCACGAACTAGGGAGGCCCTCAAGTCGCCAAAACACACTGGGATATCGCTAGCAAACAGAAGCCGGTTTTCCCCCCGTTTTCCCGTCCACCCGGCGTGTTGTGGGAGTCGGGGTCCGGGAGTATATGACGCTCATCCCCCCGCCCCCCGCCCTTCCCCGAGCTCACCCTCTGTGGAGCCGGAGCCTGTCGCAGCCCTCGGGCCCTTCCGCGGCCCCAGGGGCGAAGCTCGGCTCGGGCCTCGCGGGCCTGGGGGCAAGGCGCGCGGGCTCCCGGCGCCCGGGGAGTGCAGGAGGCCCGCCCGCCCGGAGGCCTCGGCGCCGCCGCCCGCCCGGCCCGGGATGTGGCGGCGGCAGCGGCGGCGGCGGCGGCGGCGCCGGCGCCGGAAGAAGGAAAGCGAGCGCGCGACGCCCTCTCGGGGGGCGAGGCCGCCGCCGCCCCACGCGGCCCTAGCGCCCGTCCGCGCCGTGCGCGCCCCTGCGCGGCTGTGCGCGTCCCCGCCCCACCCCCGAGTGTGCGCGCCGCCGGGACCGAGGGGAGGTGGGAGGGGGCGGAGCCAAAGGACCCCAGGAGCCCGATCACCCGGTCCTTGAGCCTCCCTTCCACCCACACCCCCGAAAAAAAAACACCCACCAAATTATATCCCGGGAAGTGACAGAGAGACTTGTGGCCAAACCTAATCCCACTAGGTCTCCATCCAGGAAACAGGTTGGGTGTTTGAGAACGAAAAAAAATCCCAAACTTGGAAAAATGAAAAATAGAAAAATCCAAGCTTGGAAAAAGGCAAAATTGCTTGAGTTTGGGGCACCTCCCAGCATTCCTAATCAGCCTACCTGGTAAAAACAGCTTTCAACAGGGCCCTTTCCGCAGACCCACCCTTGGCTGACAGATGTAACCCCCTTGTCAAGGTAGAGTGGGTGGAGTCAGTCCCAACGGTGATGGGGATTTTATTGCCCTAGAAAACGTCAACTGGTTTTGTTTTGATCTAACCTACATGTTTGTTAACTACCTAAATATATATCTACTTAGCAAACACGGTAATATAGATACGTGTGCACACACACGTATGCACTTGAACACATATAATTTTTGTCAAGCTTTCAAGAAACCAGATTTTTTTTTTTCTTCTTTGGTCTACCCTGTTGGTTTCCTCTTTAATGACTTAAATGTAATACCGGTGGGGCTCAACATTTCAGAATTTCACTTTTAACGTGGTTACTGACCACCATGACTTAAAGATGGCAAGGCAGTTTAAGGGCTGTTTACTCGGTCTTTTGATCACACATTCAGATATTTATTAAGCCCTTTCTTGGGGGCACTATGGTTGACAAGAGACATATGCTTTCTCCTTGAGGGTTTGAATGGACACACGTACATGAGAGGAGCACAAGAAGTAAATTTGGAACTTAGATGTGACACTGAATAATATGCAGAGTTTAAATAAGAGTCCAAGCTCTGGGAATTAGACCTTGTTGGTTCAAATCTTTATTCCACCACAGAAGGCTCGTGACCCTGTCAAGTTCTTTTGTCTCTCTGTGCTCCCATTTCCTCATCTATAAAATAGGGATATTATATAGTATTTACCCCAGAGTTTGATACTAAAGAATAAAGGAGATAATGCATTTGAAGTACATAGCACAGTTCTCCCCCAGTAGTTAAAATCACAGTAAACATAAACTACTTTCATTATTATTTATTGCATTCCTAAGATGCTGTTCAAATATTAAAAGATACAGTGCTTTCAAGAGGCTTACACATTGGTGACTAAGGTAGCTGAATATTTTTGTTGGGGTTTTTCCGAATTATTCTAGTTCTTTTTGTTTCTATAAATGAACTTAAGGAAAGTATTAGTATTCAGTCTTTATAACAGCAGAATAGTTTCTAAAATAGCAGTTCTCAAAACGTGATCTGTGGACCCCTGAAAATCTCCAAGATCCTTTTAGGGGATCTGCAATATCAAAACCACTTTCGCAATAACACGAGAACATTAGTTGTCTTCACTATTTTTTTAAACATTTTTAAAATTGAAGTATAGTTAATTTACCAGTTTGTGTTAGTTTCAGTTGTACAGCAAAGTGATTCAGTTATATATGTATACCTGAATATATATATTCTTTTTCAGATTCTTTCCCATTATAGATTATTATAAGATACTGAGTATAGTTCCCTGTGCTATACAGTAGGTTCTTGTTGTTTATCTATTTTATATATAGTAGTTTGTTAACCCCAAATTCCTAATTTATGCCTCCGCTGCTATCCCCTTTTATAACCAGAAGTTTTTCTTTTTTTTTAACATTTTTATTTTTATTTATTTAGTTTTTTAATTAATTTATTTATTTTTGGCTTTCACCTTAAGAAACTAGAAAAAGAACAGCAAACTAAACTTAAAGCAAGAATAAAAGAAGTAAATAATAAAGATTAGCGTGGTAATAAATGAAAGAAAAAATAGAAAAGCAAAAGAGAAAATAACAAAACAAAACACTGGCTCTTTGAAAAAATCAACAAAATTGATACATCTTTTTCTAGATTGACCAAGAAAAAAAGAGAGGAGTCAAATTATTAGAATGAAAAGGGGGATATTACTTACAAACTTACAAAAATAAAAAGGATTATAAATGAATACTATGAACAATTGTATGCCAAAAAATTAGATAACCTGGACAAGTGGACAAATTCCTAGGAAACACAAACTACCTAAAATTGACTCAAGAAGAAACAGAAAATCTGAATAGACCTATAACAAACAAGGAAGAGATTGAATTAGTAACTTTAAAACTTCCTACAAAGACTAGGCCCAGGTGACTTCACTGTTGAATTCTACATTTAAAGAAGAATTAATGCAAATCCTTCACAAACTCTTCCAAAATATAGAAGAGGATGGAACACATCTCAACTCATTCAATGAGTCCAATATTACCCTGATACCAAAGCTAGACATAGACATCACAAGAAAACTACAGACCCATATCTTGTATACAAAAGACACAAAATCCCTCGACAAAATACATGCAAATTGATTCCAGTAATATATATAAAGGATTATACAACATGACCAAGTGGGATGTATCCCAGGGATGAAGGTTGCTTTAACATCTGAAAATCAATTAATGTATTACACTATATCAATAGAATACAAAGGACAAATCACATGAATAAATAGAAGCAGAAAAAGCATTTGACAAAATTCAACTCCCCTTATTGATAAATACATGCAATAAACTAGGAATAGAAGGAAACTTCCTCGACCTGATAAATGACATCTACAAAACTCTACAAATAATATCATACTTGATGGTAAAAGACTGGAAGCTTTCCCCAGAGATCAGGACCAAGACAAGGATGTCCACTTTCATCACTTCTAACATTTTGCTGGAGGTTCTAGGTAGGACAGTTAGGCAAGAAAACAAATGAATTATCCATATTGGAAAGGAAGAAGTAAAACTATCTCTATTTTCAGATGACATGATATTGCATACAGAAAATCCTACAGATTCTACTAAAAAGAGCTAATAAATTAGTTGAGCAGAATTACAGGATATAATACAAAAATCATTGTATTTTTATAAACTAGCAATGAACAATCCAAAAATGGAATTAAGAAAACAATTCTATTTATAATAGCATCTAAAGGAATAAAATTCTTAGAGATAAATTTAACAAAAGAGGTACAAAACTTATGCTCTGAAAAATACAAACATTTTTGAAAGAAATTAAAGAACACCTAAATAAATGTAGAGACATCCCATGTTCACGTATCTGAAGACTTAATATTAAGATGGCAGTACTCTCCAAATTGATCTACAGATTCATTGCAATCCTCATCAAAATTCCATCTGGTTTCTTTGAAGAAATTGCCAATGCGACCCTAAAATTCACAGGGAACTTCAAGAAACTCAAAACTTATTGAAAAATAAGATCAAAGAGGGAGGAATAACACTTCTCAATCTTAGAACTTACTACAAAGCTACAGTAATGAAGAGAGTGTGGTACCAGCATAAGAATAGACATATGGATCAATGGAATAGAATTGAGAGTCCAAAAATAAACCTTCACGTTTATGATCAATTGATTTCCAACAACTGTAACAGGGAAGAACAACCCTGACTCCATATTGGATGTGTTTCTTTAACCTTTGTATTCTATTGCTTTTGCTACAAGTTATTCACTAAAGGGATGTTGCCTATAGCTTAAGGTATGCATAATGGCCCATCTCCAGGAAGCCTGTCTCCCATGTCTGAAGGTTAAGCTAAAATATCTTTGTTTTCCTTTGTTCACAGGAAACATCCTGACCAGGCCCACCTGTGGAAAAGAAGAAATTAACACACCCCCTCTGGAGTCTGGCCAGAGCCAGGAAATATTTGCAACAACTTATTGCCTTTTTTACTTTACCTCCTCACCTTCCCCTCTTTCTTTTATAAAAGAAACTAGCATCCAAACCTGAGCGAGATGGTTCTTTGGGACACTAGCTCACCATCCTCTTGGTCTGTTGGCTTTCCAAATAAAGTCGCCATTCCTTGCCTCAACAACTGGTCTCTCAATCGATTGGCCTGTCATGCAGTGAGCAGTACGAGCCTGGACTCAGTAACACAAGGTTGCTAAGATAATTAAATGAAAGCAGAAGAGTCCTTTCAAAAAATGGTGTTGAGATGACTGATATCCATGTGCAAAAGAATGAATTTACACACTCTGTCACATCATATTGAAAAATTAACTCAAAATGGATTGTAGATCTAACTGCAAGAGCTAAAACTAAAAAACTAGCAGAAAAATAGGCATAAATCTTTGTAACCTTCAGTGAGACTATGGTTTCTTAGATATGACACCAAGAGCACAAGCAACAAAAGAAAAAATTAGATAAATTGGACTTCATCAAAAACTTTAAATGTTGTGCTTCAAAGGATACTATCAAAAAAGTGAAAAGACAACCCACAATATGGGAAAAAACTTTTGCAAATCCTATATCTAATAAGGGACTAGTATCTAGAATATATACAGAACCCTTACGATTCCATAACAAAAAGGCAAATAACCCAGTTTAAAAATGGGCAGAGGATCTGAATAGACATTTCTCCAAAGAAGATATGCAAATGGACAGTAAGCACATGAAAAGATGCTTAAGATCATTTAATCACTAGGGAAGTGAACATCAAAATCACAATGAAATACCACCTCACATCAACTAGAATGGCTAGAATCAAAAAGACAATAACAAGTGTTGGCAATCATGGAGAAATGCAACACTCACACATTGCTGGTGAGAATATACAATTGTACAATCGTTTTGGAAAACTTCTTGCCAGTTCCTCAAAATGTCAACCTAGCAGG